AGTGCCCAGGGCAGAGCTTGCTGGGCGAGCCGTGGGCTGCTTGCACTTTCTCCCTTTGAAATTCACCTCTGACCACATCAACAAGGCTGGAGAAACCCAGGCAGTCTCCCTAATAATGAAAATACAGATTATTGTCCCCTCACAGCAGTTGAGGAACCTGAGAGCAGTTTGTCATTTTTACTGTCACCTGTCCTGAGATAGTCTCATGAACTGAAGGGCACGACCACCCAAGGGGAACAGCAAGAAGATACCTATCCAATAACCCTGCCCTTTCTCTCACCTGAACTGATGAAGTACCATTTATTTACTGGGTTCCAGAAGCTTCTACACTATGAAGACAAAAGCCTCATGCAGTGTGTATGTTTTAAGTGATGTCCTGCAGCTCCCCTGGTGGAATCTTCTCACTGCCAGGGTTATAGCTGAGCCCCTACCCCCAGCCACCTGCAGGCCCTCAGAGCTGCCTCCGCAACTCACCTGGCAGCACTGCTCACCTGAGAGCACCTGGGCTCTCCAGTCAGCAAAGCCAGCTCTTCAACCTTGGCTTTCAGCCCCCAGGGGCAAAGTCTGTTAGAGACTTGCTCCAAAGTCAAACAGCCAGTTAGTAGCCAGGCTGGGTTAGCTTCATTCCCCTCAAGACTATGGTGTTGTCACAGGGCCCTTGATCTGCGAGCCAAACCAGCCAAGGCCGGGACTTCACCCACCATCTCAAGGAGTGATGGTAGCGCCGACAAACATCGGCAACAAAAAGCAAGAGGCAATTTCAGAGTTTTCTTTAAAACCCTCTAATCAAAGATAAATACTCTTTTTCAGATTAAAAGAACAAAAAATTCCCAAATCACCTACTAGGTAGTGATCTCTTCATGACATCATCAGAAACAATGTCCACAAGCTAAGTCTCCATTGCAGTTTTCCCTAGAATTTTTTCAATATTTTCTTTCCCTCTCCTCAGAAAGTCACATAGTCCTTTGATTTTTACTATTTTAGCAAAATCTTTGTTTTCTCTCCTATAGCTTTTTCCTTACATTTCACATTCTCTCTTGCTCTAAATGTACCCCTTGCACAGTGACAGAGCCTGTCTTCCCTCTCCCTGCACTTTCCCGCCTGCCTCTAGTTCTTGAACACTGAGGGCAAATCCCAGCTGTTACTTATTGTGGCTGAGTCAGACAAGCCACCCAGGGAGGGCAACTTTAATAGCCTCTAGAAAGCTGAGATATGCTTGTGTTTCCACTCTCAAGGTGGAACCTTGTGATTTTTGCCTTCTGCATTTGAAAAGCAGGGAATATAGGAAGGGACTGTTCTTGATCCGGAAACTGAGCTTTGGGAATCACCGCAGCTCCATACAGCTCTCCCCACGCATCAACAAGCCCCCAGAGGACTTGTTGTGGAGGACTTGCCACCACAGCTGCTTTGGGAGGGGAAGGAAAACATTGGCAGCATCTAAGGGAGTCAAGAGAATTTTCCAATGCCTGGTTCCCTGGAAAGTCTCTTGGAAACCAAGCTGGTGCAGAGGCATTTGGGAGCCCTGTACCTCCCGGGGCACCAACATGACACCTGTGCTTTGAGGGCTCCTGGCCGCACACCTCTGAGAGCTCACATGCTGTGGCCCTGCCTCCTGGCTGAGGTCCTTAGCTAGGCCTTCAGCCTGCTGTGTATTTGATCTCAGGGAAGGCCTTTGTTCTTGGGAATTCTCTTCCTCCCAGAATCAGGCAGGACTGGGTCTCTTAGATCTTCAAGGCTGCGGCCCTGCCCCTTGAGATAAGTAGCAATGCTTACAGCGGCTGCAGTGAGTGCTTTGAAGTCTTCACAAAGGTTGCAACTGCAGCAGAGGGAACCATCCCTTCAACATGCCCAGTGGACACCTCCTGTCACCAGCGCTGTGCCAGCCTCTCAAAGCACTTCCTGGGAACCCACTTATCCCAAAGCCACCTGCCCCCATGAGGTGGATGAGATTAACATACCAGTTACTGGGGGGCTGACACAGCGGTCTGGTGAGTGCTCACCTTAGGCAGCTGCCCTTCAGCGGCCTGCCCAGCTGGGAATGGCACCCAGGCAGCTGCCCGAGTCTGGGATGGGAACCCTTGTGCCCCACTGCCTTCCAGGATGGGCGTTTTGTACATGCACTCGGTATGTTGGCCTTGCATTCAAGCAAGGGTGCCTCAGAGAAGGCAATTTAGATGGCAGAGAGCACCATCCGAGGGGCCCATGCAGAGCCCCCCGTCCACACTGAGCCCCGCGCCCAGGAGGCCAGGGCTGTTCTGCTTCCCCTGCCCCACGGACACCTGAGGATATTGCTTCCTGCTTGCTCCACACTCCTGGTCTGTGGCAGAGGACAAAGGAGGGGGACTCCCCTTCCCAGGAGTCAGTGCCTGGGCCCCACTTTGTTGGCCCAAGGTCCAGACCCGGAGAAATCACCCACACCCCAGGAGACCCAGGGCCCTCCTTGCTGACTTACAGATCCAGAAGAGTGAGTGTGGGTTCCAGTCCCACTGTCCCACTTACAAAGACAGAGACCCTGGGCAAGTTATTTAAACTTGTGCCTCTTTTTTTCTCACCTTCTCATTACCCCAAATGGGGTAATGATAGTTACCCACCTCCTAAGCGAGTTTTCCTGTGAGGCATAGAGGCACTAATGCACACAAAATGGAACACAGGAAGTGCTCATTAATTACACGCTCTTTGCAACCCATTGTCATTGCATCTGCCATAAAGCTCTAAGATACAAGCAGAAACCCTTTCTACTGAACTGACTCCCTGGGGTAAGAGTTCAGAGACAGGCAATGAGGCAGGACTCTGGAACATGCCCAGTTAATAGGGAGCTGAACTTGCCACAATTAACAAAAATCTTTACTGACTACAGTTAAGGATCAAGCCATTGTTTCATGAGTAACAGCTATTAAAGCCAGTGGTCAATAAAAATTAATAAGTAGAAGATCAGCTCACTGAACATAATAAATTGCATGTCTCTTAACACATATTAATGTCTCTAGTAAAATGATTAAACAATTTATTCTTATTTGTAGATTTAGAATCTAAATCCCAAAGAAATAAAGTAAATTGGCAAGAGACCTCAGCAGCCTCTCAACCCAATATTCCAGCTCAATTTTTCCCCAACTTTGGCATCACATGGAAAATGCAGACTCCCAGGCTCCAGCTCAGAAAGTCCGACAGAAGGTCTGGGATGTAGACCAGAGGTCTGAATTTGTAACAAGACTTTCTTGGTGATTTGGCTCTGGGGGGTCCAAGGACTGTGCTTTGAAGAAGCTCTGTTGGGCAAAAATGTTCTTGGTCCCAGTCAAGGACCTAGAGTCAAAAGAGACTCAGGGTGAGTTTGCAGCATGACGAGGTATGGGGGGAGGGAGGAGTGCTGGGTGTCCAGGGACACGTGGCCCGGTAACAACCTGATGGGGATTCACTTCCTCCAAGGAGGGGAACCAAGGCCCAGGATTTATGAGATCAGGGCAGAGCCATGTTAAGTACCCAGTTCTTCTAACACAAAGCGCTTTCCACCAATTTTAGTATCAGTCCAGATAAGAGTTCCTGGGACTCTCGCCATCCTCAGGAATGGAAACTTCCATATTACAAAAGTGGCCCCAGGGGAAGAAGCAGTGTGGGCAAGAGCACAACCAGTGCACACACTAATGACACACACTGGTACTTTGTTGGGGTCTCCTCCTTCTGTGAGTGTGTGTGTGTTGCTTCAGGTGCACAAATCTGGGCCAAGTCTTACGTGTAATACAGGCATGTGCATAAGAACCCAAGTCGTTAGGTTGGTCCGGTGGGCTGGTCCAAGCATCTAGATTCTGATCTTAAGTCAGTACTGGGGGAAGGAAGGAGAGACAGACCTGAACTTTAAGAAAACTTTGGTCTGGATGCTCTGGGCAAAGTCTCTGAGTTTTTCCTCTTACTTCCCAACCTGGGGCCTGAACCAGGGCAGAAAGCAGCAGAAAAGCAGAATTCCTTCTTTCCCAAGGGAGAGTAGCTCTTCCTCACTCACTACCTGTAAAATCCTTCTTTGTTTTACATCAGGACAGAACAATGTGAAGTTAACAGAATTTAAAGATAACCGCCAACATTCCCCCTTTGTCTCTGTGTGCGCGCCAGCAGGGTGGGACGTGGGGTGGGGTGGGGAGGGGAGATTCCCAGTGGCGCCCACCTAGCCAGAGGGTGCGGCCACCGGGTGGTCCATCAGACAGTTGACAGAGGTGGGGATGAGGACACCTTCGGGTCCCCTCCGTTTTCAGTCCCTGTTTAAACATTTGTGTCCTCAGCCAAGGAGACACACCAACCTATCGCACTTTAGCCACGGTCACACAAAGCGCCGTAGAAATGGCACCTGCTGTGTGAACAAAATGTGTGCAACCCACAGAGCAGGTACCAAGGACGACCCTGGCAGGGCGCCCTCCGTGGCGGGGGCTGGGGGCAGCGCTCGGCACACAGGGCCAGCGGCCATGCGGCCGGACCAGGCCGTGGGAGAACACGCGGGTTTTCTTCCAACGCGGGTTTCCTTCCATTGGTCCCTGGCGGGTGGGGCGGCGCTGATTGGCCCGCGCTCCCCCGCGCCCCACCCACTCGGAAAACCACAGTCCCCTCTGCCAATGGCAGCGCCTGGTCACCGGCCTCGCCGCCCCACAAAGACCCACCTCGCCCTCAGCCAAGCCTCGCGGCCCCGACCGGCGTTCCGCCCCCGCTGTCCGGGCTGCAGCTTTGCTCAAACGAAAGACAAGGATGCCTCAGGCTACGTTTTAAATTATCTGCTCGGGTGAAAAGCCGACGCCCGCAACGCCCGGGGTGGAAGCTGGGAAACCACGGGGAGGAGAGCGGGGGAGGTCCCTGGGGGAGAGCGAGCTTTCTTAGACCCTGGCCGGGTGGGCCGGGCCACTCGCACTCGCACACGCACACGCACGGCGAGCGCCGGCGAAGCGCCTTCTCAGAGCCAGTCGAGGGTCCCAGCGCCTCCCGGGCGCGAGAACGCGAGCCGTAGAACCGGAGCCGGGACTTACCGCCAAGGCGCTCTGGGCCAGGACCCCCACCGTCACGGTCCCCAGCAGCAGCCACCTGGTGCGAGAGGGAAGAACAGGGAGGTGAACGTGCAGGCCCCGGCTTGTCAATTCCTGAAAGTTACTCTGAAGGGCCCTTCCGCGCCGGCCCGCAGGGACAGGGCGGAAAGTCGCTTACCGCTGCAGGGCAGGGCCAGACGCGGCTCTCCGGTCTCTTCCCATGCTCCCGGGGCGGTCCCTCCACTCGGCTCCCGTCGGTCCCTCTCAGCCTGGAGGCGAGAGACAAAGCGGGTTTAGCAAAGGGGTGGGGAGGTAGAGCATCCTTGCCGCCAGTCTCTGGGTGCGGGGATCTCGCGGTGCGCCCTCGCTTCCTTGCAGGGGTGACCAGAGGGCAGTCCCAAGACGGGACAGAAAAAGGGGAGCCTTCGCATTAGGCCCCGGTTGGTGTTGCTCGCCGAGGCAGCTCGACCCCTTTTCCCCCAACCACCGCCTCCCGTTCCCAACGAGAGCGCGCAGCCCCAGCCCGGGCAGGGCGCCCGGAGTCCTTGCCCTCGGGCCAGGGTCTTGGCGCTGCCTGGGGGTCGCTCTCACCTCGGGGCCCAGCTTCAGGGGCTGCCGCCCGCCCGCGGCACATCAGCAGTGCGGCGGGCCTCGCTGGGCTCCCTGGGCGCCGGCCTCAGGGGCCAGGAGTCCCCTCCTGATCCTCCGCCCGGATCGGCGAGCGTGGGGGCGCAGGGATAGGGGCGCGGAAGTCTTCGGGTGCGCAGCGAAGAGCCCTGGAGTCCCTGCGCACTGCGGTCGCAATCTCCTGGCTGCGCGCTCCCGCCGCCCTTTACCAGAGCCCCAGGGTCCTCCCCTTTGAGGCACCGCCCGCTCACCGCCAAGGGGAGGGGCAGCGCCAACAAATTGGGGAGCTCCGCCGGCCGCGCTCAGGTCTCCGCTTGGAGTCGCCGCACCCGGGACGGTGCGCGGTGCTCACGCCCCGGCCTTTCAAGAGTGAGCTGCCCGCCGCGGGCCCCGCGCCACCCGCCGCAGTCCCCCGCGGCCCCCCGCCGTCCCCCGCCGCCCCGGGCCCGCCACCATGGGGCCGCGGCTCGGGGTCTGGCTGCTGCTGCTGCTCGCCGCCCTCCTGCTCCACGAGGAGCGCAGCCGGGCCGCTGCGAAGGTGAGTCCCCTGCGGGCTCCGCTCCCAGCGTCCCGCCCAGAGCCCCTCGCGCCAGGAGGAGCCCCTTTGTCCCGCACTCGGAGTCGCCCTCCTGTCAGGGGTCGCGTGTGGCATGGCCAGGTGCAGTGTCCGGACGGGGATCTGCTGATGATCCCTGTGGGCTGCGGTCGCGCATCCATTACGGAGGCTCCTTTGTTATGGTCTGGGTATGGGAGAGTTGGGGAAGTGCTCCGGGCCGGGGAAAAGGGGGAGAAGCTTAGCGCGCCCTGTGGCGGGTGAGGGTGCCCGGGAGTCGGCGGGATTTGAACCCGCATCACGGGGAGGCTCAGCCGCTGGGCGCCTTCACCTGCCCTGGGTGCGCGAGTGAGTTGGAGGCTAGAGCGGTGGACAGGCACACCCTACGCTGCTCGGAGCCCCACACACATGTGTCTGCGAATCGCTCTGGGCGTGTTTCCCGTTGTTTGGAGGCTCTACTGGCCGAGCCTGAACAGCTCTGGGCCCTTTGCCTGGAAACAGCTGTGTCTCTGCGTTCCCACGACTTCTCTGCTGCCCAGAGCGCGCTGCACAGCGGCAGTGGGCTCTTCTGTTTGTCTGGCTTACAGACGCCACCATCCCCGACTCGTTGCCTGTTATAAATATATTTAAAAAGATTATAACCACATTTATATTTGAGTGTGAAACCAAAGTGAAACTCCGTCTCATTGTTCCATGCGCAAATTGTTTTCCTAGTTTTCATTTCCTCTCGTTCTGTGCTTGCCCAGAGGAATCTGGGAGATCGGTTTGCAGGAGCTGAGGCTCCCAGCGCTGGACAGGCCTGGATGGACTGTTGTTGTTCTTTCCTTTTTTCTTCCCCTAAGAGAGAATAAAGACTTTAGCTGTTACTCAGTGCCATAGCCATGTAGTCTCAAAGGCCAAAAAGGTGTGGCTTCTAAACACATATTGCCCCCCCCACGCTTAAAAATGATTTTTGCTATTTGCCAGATTTCCCACACTTACTATTTTACGATTTTTTAAAATCTTGCATTTGATTTTCTTCTTTTTTTAAAAAAATTTTACATCGCTTCTGGTGAATGGTATTCACCAACTCCAGTCCGCTATCAGTTACAACTGTTCCATGCCAGAATTAACTGGTGGTGTTCTCACAGCTCAGGACTGAGAGCTGGTCTCCCTGATGGCAGCTCCTCGCTGGATATTAAAGGACTAGTGGTTACATCAGCAATTATCTTCAGGTTGTTTCTTCCAGGCCAGAGTCTCACCAAGCACCATGGCCAGTTATTTAAACACTCTTTGGTAATGATGACAAAATACTTTCAAAAGAGCAGGCTTGAGAACACTTATTTTGGCCTAGAAATACTGACCACAAGATTAAACTCTTGCAAGGCGAGATTGTTAAGTGGGGTGATGGCAAGGCAGAGAAAGTTCTCTGTTGGGAGATAGGAACTGCTGTTTGGATTTGGATTCCTGATTGATAATGTTAGCAAAGCAAAGCTAATTGTAAGAACGTTCAGGACTTTAGAGAGTGAGCCACTCACTTATGCAAACTGCTGTTCTTACCCGGAAAATGAAACTCATTAATGTTGAGTGTGAGATTATTTTACTTTACTGTAAATATTGTCTAAAGCCCAAGCACATTCCTAGCCACTGGCTTTGCTGTACCCCTGAAGGTGTCACAAAATGTTTTGAGAGATCCTGCATGTGGGTACTTCCTCTGAGCACCAGTTGACCTAATTGTCATTATACTACATCTCCCTGGGCTTAATTAGAGAGAGAAAAGTGATCAATATGCATATGACTTATGGGTATACAAGACAATTTATTTAAAAATTATATCTGGCTAACTTTTAAATCTGGCTCATTTTTTATGCCATCCTTATTTTTTGCTTACCTCCTTACAAAATCAGCTGTTAGGTACACCAAAACACCAAAATAACTTTAATATCAATCCAAGCAAAACATAATTTAGAAATAGAGTTTGAAGGACAAGATGGTGCAGATGTGTCATGTCCTAATTCAGAAGCCAGTGGGAAGGACTTTTGGCTCAGCTGCTCCTCTGGGTCCACTGAGTCACACTTTACTTGCATTTGCACATCCAAACCACCTACTGTGTGCCTGGCATGAATCATACTTATTTTTTTTTTCTATATGAAAATCAGTTTGATTCTGTATGTGGCCATATCTGCTGTGGTCATACTGTTTATTTAGTAGTGGATGGATTTTCTAAACCATTGATTTCATCCCATACAGAACCTATCCCTTACTCCTGCCCCGCTGCCCTCTCCAGCTTTTCTTTCTTAAGAAAGAGAGGAGGAATAGGGTGCAGGCCTGAGACAGAAATGTTCCTGCAGTCTCTATGATTGTGAGCATCTGCTCTTGGTCATGCACTTATACTGGGCCGAAAGAATCTTCCTTTAGCAGCCTTCAACCCCTTTTCCCTCTGGTTCTATATGATGCTTCTTAACAAATTATCTCTCAGGATCAGAAATATGAACTTTCCTCTAAGTGTGGTGATGCCTGTCCAGCAATACTATCACTTCCTGACTCTAAGTCACTACTCCTAGGACTGAAAGACCTAGAGCATAAGCTAAGTGAGAATTCCCATGCAAGAATGGACCACTTTCTACTGGAAATGCAATTTAGATGAGAAGGTTGATTTCTGTTAAGTCCCAACAAGAGTAACATCAACCAGCATGTCCAGAGTGATGTTGGTCCTCATGTTCTTTACATATGAAATTGGTTCAAAGTGCAGGGAAGCACCTTCAAGACCAACTAGAAGATACAAAGGACATGAACTAGGTGTGTATAAGTTTGGACTTTCCCAGAATTGTCAGTGTTGTAAATTGGTCACACATACACAGAAAGAGTGTGCTTTAGGGGCAAGAGGATTCTCAATTTTATGTCTGCTTTTAAGCAGATTTGGGGTGACTGGTTGAACCCTATGCCTCAGTTTCCCTGGAAGATCTTCCCCTTCTTCACATGGTCCCATTTGTTTCTTCCTTCATTCCACACATGCATCAGGACCATCTCCTTTATGCCATGCCTCCTGCCAAGGAGTGACCACCGCTCTGTCCCCACGCAGGTCACAGCCTGGTGAGAAATACTGAGAAAGAAATAGACAAAACCAGGGCTGGTGAATGCCACAATTAAGAGAAACAAGGCTTTAGGAACTCAGAGGAAACTTCTGAGAAGACATTCTACCTCTGAAATATGAGGAAGAAATGGGAACTATAAACCCAGCATATTATTTTCACATATTTATGGTATATTATATGCAGACGGCATGACAATTCTACCTGTCCTTTTTCAAGCCTAATGGTCTTTGCATTGAAAGATGACTCTAAAATTCCCTCTTAGCTGGACTTCGAACTCAGAGGGTAGAAAGGACTTAGGGCAAGGCCTAGGGGAAGAGTGGTCAGAAGAAGCTCCCAGCCCCACCTGAAGACCAGTGTGTGGTCCTGTCCCTTTTCTTGGAGGTGGTAGGTGCACTAGGATGTTTGGAAAGTGGCAGCATGGATGACTGACTCTAGGCAGGAGTGCCTTTAGGAACTGACCCAGAAAACCTACCCTCACTTGGGCAAAGCCATGAGGGAATTCTCAAAACTCTACATTATTCATTAACAAGTCTGCTGGCAGATTTCTGGGAACTGGTAAGGATGGTCATAGCAAATCCAGTTACTTAGTTAAGAGCTGGTAAAGATTCTGCAGACAAATGGAACCCACAAGTGACTCCCTAAACAAATCTTTTTAGACACCTGGAGGGCATCAAGAAGTGAGTAAATCACAACACTTGTTTTGATGAATTATACAATGTTTGTTATAACAATTGTTCCCGACATTGAAAAAGGATTAACCTCATTAAAATGTCTCGCAAGCAGATTTGGTATTCTGAGTTCTGGGGATAGAATAAGCTGAAGCACAATGGAAAGCCTAAAATGATATCATTAGAGCATTGTTCTTCCTGCTATTCTTAACCACTAAAAAATGTCAACTACAGAACAATACAAAAGAGGATTCCTACCATTCTTGTGCATACAATGGAGAGGGATATAAACCAGGACATGTTGTAAGGTTTCTTCTGAGGCATGTGTCACTGGAAGAATGACTTTGGGGCTAATACTTTTGTAGTCTGGGACACAGTGACCTGGTTCCCCTCAGCAGTGCCGGCCCTTATCTGGGATATGAGTCTATCCTAGTTTTATTTCTATATCTGGCTTCTCTCTTCTTTCTTCTTTGCATTCTCTTCTCTGCTCTCCCCACCTGGGATGTCTGCTGCATGACTCCTTGTCACTCCATGGGACATCTCACCATAGCTGTCCTGCTCTGATCTCCAACTGGGCACATAAGTTCAGAACTGAACTTGTCTTTCATGCAGGCTCAGTGGCCTTTCCAGTTCTGCCATTGTGATCGTTGGTGCCCGGAGCCTGGAGACCATGACTTTCCCTCCAGGACTCTCCTTCCCTCCCCCTTAACCTCCATGTCTGCCCAGTCACAGGTCTCTCACTGCTTCTTTCCTTGTGTTTCCCAGAGGCACCCTCAGCTTTCTCTTCCTGAGGCTCTGACCCCACCTCCAGGTCTCCTAGCTTAAGCCAGGATCACCACAAAAGCCATCTGCCCCACCCAACCTCCTCTCATCCCTTG